ATTGTCCAGGCTGTCTCTGCCCTGCTGAGCCCGCCAAAAGTCCCATTCTGCAAATGGTACTGCACCAGTTGAGTAGTCCTCGACTTACGACCGGTTGAGTAGTCCCCGACTTATGACCAGTTGGGGGTCGCGGCATTAAAAAGGTTGAGAATCATTGATGTAAAGTGACCAAAACCTGCTGCAACCACCCAGTAGACAGGGGGAATAAAAACCAAACAACCCCCCACCCCATCCCTGCTGCCAATCCTCAACAGAAATACTCACAACAATGAAAACCTCGGACAGGAGGAAGAGCGCCACTGAGCGGGCAAGCAGGTGTCTTGCTTGGCTGTGGCTTGGGGGGCACTTTTGTCAGTGCCGTTGTAACTTCAAACAGTCACTAAGCGAACTGTTATAAGTCGAGGACTATCTGTACTTTATCACTTTTTCCTTTTTTGGGGGGTCAAGTTTTTGACACCTTGCTAGGCGACTGGTGGTATTCGGATGTTGCCATATCCTAAAAGTGGTACAATGGGTGAAAAGATTGAAAAGCCTTGACCTAAAGGATTGTCTTTTTCCAACAGTTTGTATTTGGTCCAATCTGGTCTGGTAGGATGAGCATACTCTAGGTGGGTAGCCACATGTGTGTGTACCTTTTCTGCTGTAGCACCTACTCTCCTCCAATTGGGATGGCCCTGACCCTGTTGGCATTGCAGAAGGCCTTAAAGTCCTGGCTATGTATCCAGGCCTGGGGTCCTGAGTCTGTGAAGGGACCAGTTCCTGGTTATGCTGACACAAACAGATTACAATATCTCTTTGTATTTATTTTTTTCCTGTATTATGTTTTAATTGTTTATATTATTGTTCACTGTCCAGAGTTTGAGATGGGCTCAACATATTGAATAAATAAATAAAAATACAGTATACTCTTATGCAAAAATATATTATACAGAATATATTTTTATTGCAAAGATGCTTAGAAAAATAGCATTTTCACAGCATCACATACCTAATGCTGAAGTGATATAAAGTCTATCCTTATTTATATCATGCTTGCACAAAAATTATCAATTGATACTGGAAGATGCTATCTAACAGAAATTGTTAATCATTTTTTGCTCATGGCCCCCTCATTCACTTCTGAAGACTCTCTCCATCTACACTACACACCAATCAAACAAGGGTTCCCCAAAGTAGTTAATATTGACCCCCAAGAATCAATTCAACTATCCATAATTGTTTTTGTTATAGTTGGTTGAACTAGTCAGCCAGATATTTATATTGGCCTTAGTGTTTTAATTCATCTATCAAGTCTTTCCCAAAGGCCTGGGATGGGCAGAAGTTGTTTAATGGTGCTAAAGGTATCACTGCAGGATGTAAGCTCCTCAAAGTAAACCTGCCTTTTGCAAATGACTGATGGTAATTTTGTCAATGCCACTGGTGTAGAAATGGTGCTCCAGTTGCTTTGGGATTGTTATTGTAACTTGTATTAGTTAAAATGCTATTTTTAAATTATTTTCATATAATAAATGTTTGGGAGTTGATGAACAACAAGAAACTTCATAAAGGGGTCAATGAGTTCATGAGGCTGTATCCTATATACACTGTGGTTCTTTAGAAACATGGTATGGCCTTCTGGGGGCCACGTGGCCCAGGCTGAGAACCACTGCTATATGTCAGACTAGGGAATCACTTCTGATAGGTAGGTGCAGTTGAAAGAGTATGACTGTCTTCTTAGGTACAATCTATCACTAAACACTATTCTACATTGCTGCTTTAGGTGCACATTAAAGAAAAAGAGAGAAACAGCCAGGCCTGCAAGATTCTTTCCTATTGTCAATATCTTCCACATTTTTTGCTTGCAAGTCATTACCCAGTTTTGCTTGTACCCGAAGTTCTCTTTACTAAAGCTGATTAGCAAAGATATGGTTATCAGTCCAGCTCCCCAGCACGGCCTCTTGCATCCCCCACAGTTGTTATGCAAATAACACATGTAAATGTTAAACTTACTATTTCTTATTTCTCTGCTCATTTTCTCCTGTCCAGAGAAAAAGGAAGGGCATCCGTGACAAGTGCTTTTGTGCTCAAAGCATATCACAAGGAGATTATCATCCTTAGTATTTTTATCTTTAGATTGCAACAGGCAAGGAGCACTCTATTGTCTGCCCAAAACTGCCTAATGAAGATAAAGCAGAGTTGAGTTTTGAGTGCAAGGGTCGTTTATACTGATTTGTTCACCCAGTTGCCAAATTGTCACAGAACAATGGCTGACTAGCATAAAAGTAGATACAATAAGAATTGAGCCATGATTCCATTCTATGGTTCCAAGCTAAATTTAGCCTCATGAACTGAGATACACCTACCTATTCTGAAAGACAGATGGGAATGAAGAGTCCCAGAATTGTTGGGAGTCAGGTCACATACATTTAATAAATAATAATTCCCATAAATTGGCCTGAAGGTTCCAAACTACAATCCTATAGTCATTCAGAAGTATTACTGAACAGAAACACTTATAGCAGCCAGTCTGTTAAAAGGTATACTGATCCATCAAGGGAAATTAAAAAAAAAACAAAATCCTACCTCTCCTTTTGAATTAGAATAAAAGAAAAACAATTTAAAAACACCGGGATACAAAGGAACATTGCAATCCTAAAGCCAAGGGTTAATGAAATAGATTGGCACTAAAATGGACATTTACTGCTGAAGTTTATAAAGGCACCCACAAAGGATGCCTAAGGAAAAAGAGTGGGAATATTTATTCCACAGATGTAAAAATAGTAACAATAATAACAAAGACATTTGGTCATAATTGAAAAAGTAATGAAAATGACAGCTGGTGGTAAATGTTCATACAGAACCCTAAAAGAGAAATTATGACAGAATTACACAAACGTATCCATTAACAGAGTCAGTAATAACTGTGAAGATTAGCTTTAAAGCACTAACATGCCTGCAGCTGAGAAGCAAAACAGATTTAAATTGCGGTTCTTGCTCTCTTTTAAGCAAAACAGAGATGAAACAATTGTTCAACTGTGATATTCAATAATGCACAGACGGTTCAGAGTACAGAATCCATGTAGTCATAAGAAGAGACTGCGCATGACTTTTGTAATTTACCCCAGCTACAAAATGTCAGGGTTTCACAGGTTGTATGTTTTAGCACATGCAGGTAGTACTTGACTTATAATAGTTCACTTAGTGACTGTTTGAAGTTACATCACTCAAAAAAGTGACTTATGACTGCCTTTCACACTTACAACCTGTTGCAGCACCCCCACGGTGATATGATCAAAACCTGGATGCTTGGCAACTGACTCATTTATGACGGTTGTAGCGTTCTGGGATGATGTGATCACCTTTTGCAACCTTCTGACAAGCAAAATCAAAATGGAAGCCTGATTCACTTAACAACTGTGTTACTAACCTAACAGCTGCATTGATTCACTTAACAACTGTGGCAGGAAAGGTCACAAAATGGTGCAAAATTCATTTAACTGTCTCACTTAGCAACATAAATTTGGGGCTCAACTGTGGTCGCAAGTCAAGGACTACCTGTACATAGAGGCACCTTTCTAACCCAGTGGTTCTCAACCTGTGGATCGGGACCCCATTTGGGGTCAAACGACCATTTCACGGGGGTCGCCAAACAACGCAGTCCGCCTTTTTTCCCCCTTTTCCTTAGCTGTGCTACTTCCTTTTATTCTATTGGCTTTTGAAAGCCAATAGAATAGACTCTCTTGAATAGAGTCTAATTCTATTGGCTTTCAAAAGCCAATAGGAATTGTCCAGGCTGTCTCTGCCCTGCTGAGACTGCCAAAAGTCCCATTCTGTAAACGGTGCTGCACCAGTTGAGTAATCCTCAACTTACGACTGGTTGAGTAGTCCTCGATTTACGACCAGTTGGGGGTCGCAGTATTAAAAAGGTTGAGAACCACTGTTCTAACCAGACACCCTCCAGATATCTGAACTACTGTACACAGCAGACAATGTACTGGTGTTAGAAACAAGCAGGAAAGGCTTTAAAACTGTATTTACTTAGCAGGAATGAACTGGTACAGCAAGTACAGTCAGTACAACAAGACAAATCTAAACACACCGTTTAATGATTTAATATAAGCTTACTGGAGTGAGGAAAGTAACTGGCAGAGAGAGAGCAGTATAGGACAGAGACAAATATATAGCAGTATAGGACAAATGCAGCTTATAGGTGGAGGGGACTTGTAGAACAAAGTTCTTTGCAGGCGGAGGAACAATTAGAAAGAAAGGCCACCCTTTTTAGTTCTTCCTCAGTTTCAGGGATTTTTATCTGCATCTGGAAATAGCTAGGAATTTAATCCTCCCTCCATATTCCTCTAATGTAAAGCCCAAACTATGCCTAGAAAAAAATAAAGAGAGAGAGATCAATTTAATCAATAGTTCTGTCTTCATCTTTTCTTTGGTAAAAAAAATAATAAATTACTTGGAAGAAAACGCTATTAGGTTTGCTCCACAGGAAGTACAGTGAAAAGTACACCTAGGGAACTTCTTAATTCTCTGTTCCTGCACTGGCTATAGCTCTTATAATCCAGGGAGCCTGGTGAGTCATGTTTGGGAATTACGGACGTTGTAATACAGTGCACTGGGAGGCACCTGGCTGGGAAAGGCTGCGTTTCACAAACAGGCAAAAGATAACGTGATTTAAAAAAAAAAAAAAAAAAAGCAAGCAAGCAAACCCCGAGAAAACGAGTGCCTAGGACAAAATCCTGTTCCGGGAAACGGCTGCAATTCAGCTCACTGAGAATGGGAGCAGCGGCTGGTTTCGTTAACCAGGTCTTAATTTCGGACTTACCGCCAGCTGCGGGCAACCTGCGAAGCCAGGACCAGCCGAGAGGGCATCTTTGGAACTGGCGCGACCTGGCGTCCCCCCCCCCCGGGCGCACACTTGCTCGGGAGCGGAGCCGGGAGTAGCGAAGGGGATCAGGCAGATCCCCCCGCGGGCAGCTTGTTGTCTTTCGACCACGGGCGGCTGCTCCACTTACCTTTCACGTCGTTGGCCAGCCCTTTCCAAACCGGGGCGAAGGCTTTGCAGTGGCCGCACCAGGAGGCGTAAAACTCGACCACCCAGGCGCCAGTGGAGTTGAAGATGCGACGTTCCAGCGTCCTGGTCTCCAGCTGCACCAGCAGGTCACCGGGCGAGTAGAGGCCGAGGCTCTGCGCGCCGGGGACCTGCACCAACAGCAAGCAGGCGACCGCCCGGATGAGGCAAGCGGCGGGCGGCATCTGATGCCGCGGTCCGGCACCGGAGAGCCGCCTAGGCATCGCGCTTAAGCCGCCACTGGGAAGCTACGACGAGAAATATGCCCGATGCTCCGCGCCGGGCTCGAAAGTCACTCGGCCTTGCGCGGGTGGAGCTGGAGGCGGAGCGGGAGCGCTTCCCTACCCCAAACCGAAAGGGGAGGTTCCGCCCCCAGCGCCCCGCACGTGGGGTTCTGGGTTGCTATCAGGCGCCTCCTCCGTGCGGAAGGAACGGGGGGGGGGCGTGGGAAGAAGGTCCTCATCCGCGGGAGTTGAGTTCCAGTAAAGCAGCCGCCAGACCAGGATTTCCAGCGGAGATTGGAAAGAATGCGGAAGCGGCTGAAGAAGTGAGGCGCCCGGAGACTGTTCTAGATTGTGGTCAAAATGCCATCCCACGATGCCATCGGTTCGGTTTTGCAACAGGCCAGCATTCCAAGGCTGACCCGCTTTTTCGAGCGGGACCAACGTAATTAAAGCTATTCTCGATTCCTGGATTGCAAAGAGCCATAATTAAAGACGTTTTTCCCTGGTAGCGATATTATGCAAATAGTTTAAACTGTACGGGAGCGTCAGTGCACCATCCTTGCATCTGCAAGGGGGAACATGATAGCAGTGTTCCAATATCTCGGGCTGCCACAGGGAAGAGGGAGTCAAGCTATTTTCCAAAGCGCCTGAAGGCAAGACAAGAAGCAACGGCTGGAAACTAATCAAGGAGAGAAGCAACCTAGAACTAAGGAGAAACTTCCTGACAGTTAGAACAATTAACCAGTGGAACAACCTGCCTCCAAAAGCGGTGAATGCTCCAACACTGGAAGTTTTTAAAAAGAGACTGGACAGCCATTTGTCCGAAATGGTATAAGGTTTCCTGCTTGAACAGGGGGTTGGACTAGATGACCTCCAAGGTCCCTTCCAACTTTACTATCATCATCATCATCATCATCATCATTATTATTATTATTATTATTATTATTATTATTATTATTACCTCTGAAGTCTTTCTATTCTGAGAAAAGAGAAAGCTTTATTAGCCTGATAAGAAAGTGAGTGAGTGGAGAGTGAAGTATAAGAAAGCATGCATACTCTGAAAACATAATTAAATTATAATTTGCTGCCTTCAGATGTGATGGCCACCATGGTTTCGAAAGGGAATTGCAAGTATTAATGGAGGATTGGGTTCCCCATGGTTATTAATCTTGTACTACTGCCTGAATCTTAGGTAAGATACTTTAATGCCAGTTACAGAGGTGCAAGTGATTTGGTAGGTAGATGAGTTGACCAGATCCTGCAGGGAATGTTAGAAGCAGTTTGCAGTGATGGCCTTACAAAAGGAACAGGAAGAACTGAGTTTTATGTAGGGGAGCTGTTTACACACAGAAAGCCCTAGACTCAAACTCTAGAAACTTCATTTAAAAAAATCTAGAGGGGCTAGGAAGAACTGCTTTATAGGAGGCCTCAATGGAAACAAATCTATGTTAACTGGGTTAATGACCCAATTCAGAACAAGCAAAGTAACTTCCTTCATATGCTCAAGTCTTAGGGTGATTAGTATTCGAGGTAAGGTATTCAAAGCTTTAAAAAAAACCAATGCAGCTTGAATAATATTTTATTCAGAATAGAATAACAGAGTTGGAAGGGATCTTGGAGGTCTTCTATTCCAACCCCCTGCTCAAGCAGTAAAGCCTATACCATTTCAGACTAATGGTTGTCCAATATCGTCTTAAAAACCTCCAGTGTTGGAGCATCTACAATTTTTAGAGGCAAGTCATTCCACCTATTAATTGTTCTGACATAAAATTCAATTATTTTCTTTTTTCATACTGAGGAATTACAGCAGTGGTTCTCAGTAGACTTAGTAGACAGCTAGTTTGGCATAGTGACTAAGACACCAGGCTAGAATCCAGGAGACCATGAGTTCTAGTCCTGCTGAACTCATGAAGCCGGAGGGATGACTTTGGGCCAGTCACTCTCTCAGCCCTAGGAAGAAGGCAATGGCAAACCACTCCTGAAATCTTTCCAAGCAAACTATAAGGATTACAGTAGTAGATTACCTTGAGTACAGGCTTTGTTAACAGTTGCTAAGAGTTCATTTTCCTTCCAATTCTGTGTTTACAGAATAAGTCTAATACAAACTAAGATCAGAAAAGAAAAATGAAAAAAGAAAAACTAAAAGTGAAAAAAGAAAAAAGTAGCCCAAACATAAAAAAATACAAACAAGTAACTTCTGATCTTTACAGCAGTTATATGTACAATTATAAATTGACCACTCTCTCTAAAGTTATATCATGAGTCGCTTCTTTCTATATATTCTATTCTATTCTAATGATCAAAACCATAAATTTTTGCATGATTTATTGATCCTGGCCCTGATTCAACAGAAGCCTGCTAGTGCGAAACATTGAGTAACTCCTCAGAAAATAATGCAGAGCCACATAGAATTCATAGGGGAAGAAGCTATCCAGTTACTACTATCCCGGGAGTGTTAGTTGCATTATCAATTCTATGTGACAATACAGCTCTGATCATCACAGCAGCTGAAGAATGTTGTATTTAGATCTCCAAGTATATATTTTAACTGATTTTTTTTTTTTAAAAAAATGCAAATTATGAATATAAAGCATTTAATTTTGTGACTGGTTGGAAGCACCACCCTTTATTCCTCTGGTTGAAATTCCATGTCTGCATTGCTTCATCACGGACAACTAAGCTTGGACTTGTGAAATTAGAAACCAGAAGTAAATAGTAAGGAGGAAAACTAGTAACTTTAATTGAATGTAACTGAATGAAATTGAAATATTTTTCTTAGGAAATTATTAGATTTCTTTCCCAATCATTCCCATAGGAATAATACAAAGAATAAAGAGAATTTGTAACATCTCTTTTAAATTAAATGTGCACAATTTATGGAGGAATGTTAGTAACTGTACAATGAAGAAGACTAGTAATTTAAAGAGGCACTTGGGGGAAAAATACTTATTTCAAGAATAAATTGAGTATTTTTAGTTTTTCAGTCAGCAATGAAATCTCAACAAAATGATTTTTATTTTGTCAAATAATGACTTTGCTGTAATTTGAGTACTGTAATTTTCCTCCCTTTATTGCTAAATATAAAAAGCCATATACAACAGGAAACAGATTAACAAACTCAACAATATTTGATGCCTGCAAAGTTGTTTTTAGTAAGGAAATACTAAATAAGATTGCCAAAACCCTGTTCTCAAATGATAGAGTTATGCTCTTCCTTGAAAAATCATCTTGTGATATTATAACTGGAAAAAAAATCAAAATTATACTTCAAATAGATACATGTGATAGTGAGTGCAATTTTAATAGGAATAGTTCAATATCTCAATGAGAAGAAAATGATTGAGCATATGTACACATACAAAGCAAACAACAAATGCTGAGCTATTTCGTAATGTGATTAATGTTTTTCAACAAATCACCTGCTCTGGAAAAGTGTTTTTGGTCTTTATAGTGAAGTTGCTGTGCAATGACAGGTACACACTATGGGTTTACAGTAAATGCTGATTTGCAAGTTACATACAATATGACTCATAAAAAACAGATACTTCTGGAAATGCCTGACGTATTTTCTAATCACATCAACATCGTATCTGGAACTTTTTACTGTAGGACTCATTAAAACCAAATGCACACTCCAAAGATTCAATCATTCCTTCCAATATCATCAACCAGCTTTTGGAGGAATATATATTCCTCCAAATATATTGTCCTTATATTTCCTCCAATTCTCCTACTCCGTCCAGCTGCTGGATGTATTGGCTGGGAATTCTGGCAGGTACATCCTGAACATTTGTGCAGGGTATCCAATTGAGGAAGAAGGAGGAAAGCAAAAACTGCATCACTGACAATGCACATTTGGAGTACAATAAAATTGTAAAAAAATTATAATGTGCAAACCATCCCCTTCCAAAGGACTTTCCCCAAGCAGCCCAATAGTAACTCAGTGGTAAAGAGCAAAGACTTATAGTGCTGTTATGAAAAAAGGTAAAGACATTGGAAGTGAGTGGAGAGGAACTTGATGAACTCTGCAATATTTTCTAGTGAAATGATGGGTGGGACTCTCAGCAAGCCAAGCTTTTCTGGGCTTGGAAACTAAGCAGGTTTGGACCACGCCTGTCCATAAAGGCACCAAGAACTAAGCTGGACTTGATGAAGACATTACTTTTGTGTGCAAGAAGCAAAACTATTGAAGAAAGCCCGAAATTATTGACTAAGAATAATTGTTAAAGGATGGAACTGCAGTAAGGAGATGGGATGGAATGGAATATGCTAAAAGAGGAGAAAGCTTCAATAAAGCAATATTTTGTTAGAATTTCCAGTTATGCCAACTATTTGAGAGTTGTTTCTAATTTTCCTTGCATTAATTTGAAGAGCTTATTCAATGCATAATATTTGAATCAGTTGTCTTCGGCCTGTTGTGAATTACCTAAGATTGCTCATATTCTTCTTTATACTATTCTGCCTTTTCAACTAGTCCCTCAGCCAAGCACTGACAAAACATTTATGAAATACTAAAAAAAGCTGGGATGGATTGGGCCAAAAGCTTATCTAATCTTGCATTCCGTTCTGCTCAACTCAAGTGCCAGTGAAATGATGACAAGCAGGACACTTAATATCATATTTGCGGTTATGTTGCACATAGCAACTATTATTCAGAGAAGCTGTTGCTTCTGATACTAAACAGAAGAGGAACTGGGATCTTCTTGTAACATTTTTCTCAGCCCTGTCCTTTTTTTTCTCATTGCCTTTTTACCAGTTCCTAATTAATAGCAATGGTATCAGCCAGTGGTTGGATTAGCTGTGCATTACATGAAAAACATGTCCCACTATTCAGCTTCATTATACTGTATAAGTGTGGCTTCTAATTTTATGAAGAAAATAGAAAAAAACACCCACATTTATCTTACTCATCCCCCCCTCCATGTCTTAAAATTCAAAACATTTTGTTGGAAAAGCCATTATCTCTTCAGTCTATTAATTACAAAGGCAAAGAGTTTTATACCTCTGCCTGTCTCTCACTTGGTCTGTTGTTAGTAACAAGAAGTTATGGGTTTAAAAGACAAAGGAATTTCATCTCTCCTTCCCCTTTGTCTTTTTCTTCAAGTAGTAGTATAAGAGAAGGGAGGCTTTCTTGTTCAATGCATTTCTTCATAAATCTGTTTTTTTTTTTTGCTTCAAATATACTGAATGTCTGTTAGCATTCATTGACAGCTGGGTAAGATTGTACTTGGCATCCAGATAGATAGATAGATAGATAGATAGATAGATAGATAGATAGATAGATAGATAGATAGATAGATAGATAGATATAATTTTAGATATATATCCAGTATTTTCCTGTTATAAGAAGTAGCCTATTGATTCATTTGGTTGCCTTTTTCTAACCCTGAGTTTCTGCAGTCACTGGGAAGATTCCCATTATATTGCTAATGATGAAGAATCTTTATTCAGCAGTACCAAATGTTTGCTTGCAATGTACAGCAGATTGTTGGGCAGAACCCCAA